GTCCTTTTGAAAATGTTTCAATAAATCTTACAGAGGAACAATGTGTTGTTCTCTTATTGTTACAGAAATTTCCACCACATTAGTTTGCAGATCTGATCCCTGTTTGTGCAGATTCTGACGTACTGACATGCATATCTTACCATGTAATTATGTTTGATGTTCTCTACTGTATGTGCATAGAGAAGACAAGCAGAGCAGGTCAAGATGATAAAACCTGTGATTACAGTTACGCAATCTCTGTCACATAAAACAGACTATAATTATTTGTGCTTTGTTCAAAATAGCTAACATTAGAGTTAATTGGTAGAGAAAGTTATGCAGATCAAGTAGTGAGTGCTTGGTTGGTTCAGCATAAGGTGGCGGTTCAAGGAGGGGAGGGTGAGAGGGTTTCAGAGCATGGAGAATTACAGTAAAAAGAAGGCATTAGTGGTAGAAGAAAAAGGAAATGGGGAGAAGAAAGTGAAAGAAAAAAAACAGCAGAGGGAATTGAGAGGCATGTCCACAGTTTGTTTTGATTTGATTTATTCTTTCAAGCATGTAAAGACAGTTGATATGACAACACACATGATTGTACACATAATCCAATATCAAATTGCTTATACCTAGTACATGCTTGAATGGAGTAGGAAGAAGTCAGACTTATCCAGTCCTACCCCATGACATCATCTTACCATCACTGGTTTGCAAGCAGTAAATGATGATTTAGGCTGCCTCTCTTCAGCTGTGTGAACAAAATATTTCCAACCAACAACAGTATTTTAGAGTTACAATTAATGTGTAAAGTATCACAAAACATAAAAAATGGCAGCTAACAGTGAATGGGGGTGACCTGCTCTTTTAGGAACGGTGACCTTCTATGTGTGTCTGCCAGAGGCCCCTTAGCTCATAATTCCTCCCTGCTGCAAATGAGGTCTCATTTCACCCGCTGAATATCCTGTTTTTAGTAAACTCTTCACATTCTGAGTTATTGAGCTCTGACAAATTGTTAGTATTCCCTGTGTGCCAACAAATAAAACCAAAGGGAACAACAGAACAAATATGTTCATCAGTCTACCACACTTCTCTCTGCTAAGCTGAATTATCTCCCCGCTCTGAGGAAATTGTAGCCTAACATATCTGGCCTCCCATATCAAAGAAAGGCAGTTTTTAATTAGCCAGTGTTGGTTACTCTGAATCAATTACTGATGCATAGAATAGGTCTCATTCCTTCATCAAGGATTAAATGAGTCTTCTGTAATTGAAACACTAGCAGTAATCACATTAAATCTTCTTTTTTTGTATTTGGCAGCATATCACTGTATTTCAAGGAAAACTCTCACCTGACTGACTCAGCTACCCCCTGAGGTATGTTGTGTTGAAGAAACACCTATGCAGGTAATTGTTTTGTTTTGGGTTTTTTTTTTTTGTTACAGTTAGATCACAAGAATATACATTCTTTCCTTTTGTCTAATTAACATTGGCCTCATGAACTTCTCTTATTACTCAGGTGGATCCTACACTAATGAATGTAGGGGATGGAGGCACGGTGAGCAGAGAGATCAGTGCTCCAAAAAAAGCGTCTACTAGTATGGTGGGAAATCCCCCCCAGACGCTGCCCCCTGAGTTTCGAGGAGATGTTACCCTCAGTCAGCAAAACAAGACTACTCCAACAACAGACTGTAAGACAGCGAAAGCCTGCCTGGACACTAGTAATTACAACCACAGCCCTGAGCTTTCTCCACCTCAGCAGCCCAACAATGCACCGATGTCAAGCTCAGCCCTCACCGGCTCAGAGAAGAAAGCAGACAAAGGGGCAGAGACCGCTAAACTCAAGGTCGACGGTGTTGGGGTCTTCCCCGCTACTCAGTGGTCAGGTGGCGTGAAAGTCAGCCGGGAGGGCTCACTCAACCCCTGTCACAGCAGTGTGACATCCAGCAAGAAATTACACCTGCAAACCCAAGCTGTGCAAAGTGTTCCACCTGGGTTTCAGTGCTCTACCATGTTTAAACCACCCCAGCCTGTTGCCTTCCTTCCTTCTACAAATTTTTCCTCCCCACTTTGTAAAATCACTCTTCCACCAGCACTGGGTCAGATTGCAGCTTTGAGAGAAGCTACAGCCAGTCAGTTTCAGAAAGAAATTCAGCCTCAAAGCTCAGGGGTTGGAGGAACACCTCTCATGCGTACCTATCCCTATCCGTTCTCTATGGGCCGGGCACCAGCTGGAGAGAAAAAGCCAGGCACATCGACCTCAAAACTTAAATCTAACCTTTCATCGAGTAAGAATTCCAAATATGTAGGAGAGCATAAATCTTTAGCCTCAGTGGTAGCCTCACCAGCTATCACCCTACCGTTGCAGCACCCATCATTAACTTCTGCAGCACCCACCCATTACACGTTATCTCCCACTGCTGCCATTTGTTGTGGCCCTGCGCTGGCCAGCATCACCTCTCAGAGCAGACTGCTAAACCATGTGGAGAAAGGCAACAGCATAGACAAGACAACCATGGGCTCTCTTAAAACAACCTCGTCCTCTGCTTCAGAGGAACACACCGCTTGCCTAATTGAACCAAGAGATGTCCCTCTTGATTTGTCTGCTAAATCCAAACGTCCAAAATGCATAAATGACCCCCCAGTGTCTGTGATGGAGCCACATAATAACGAGTCAAATCAGAGAGATTTTCTGAACTCAAAGAGGACTCATTCTACAACTTATAACTCATCTGTGCAATACCCTATTTTACTAAATACCCACAGGAATGGATCTCATCAAAAGCATATAAATAAGCCTCAGAATCACCAGGTTCCAGAGCCCAAACCAACCTGGGGTAAGGGATCTTCACAAGACTCCATAAAAAACATTCCTGGAACCTATGTAGGTGTGGCTAGCCCCATACTGGCTTCAACTCTGCGGGGCAAAGATGGAAAAGGGACTTTTGCTGATGAATTTCAAAGTTTTGCAAAGCAGGAGTTTATATCTATAATTGACCAAGGGGAACATCTGGCCTCAGGAGGAAAGAAGCCATCCTCTCTGATGAAGGGCAACCAACATGCTTACAGTGTCAAGCATGTTAAAAACACCAGCACAGCCATAGCTACGAATTGTCCCTCTAAAGGAGCCCCGACAACTGCCCTGTCAAGCTCTGCCAGCACTCAGATTCATCAGAAATCTGCACCTGGCAAAACAGCGGTGCCATACTCTACCACTGTTGTCAGTCCGGTTTGGCAACAGCCTCCTCACGTTCCTCATCAAGCCTCGTCTGTTCAGAGAAAGGTCACACAAGGATCTCCGAAGACCAAGGGCAGCAGAGTTACAGAAGGATCTAAGTACATGAGTGCTCATCATAGCCCTTCCAAACATGAGGATGATAAGTGGGAGAGATTAAAGTCTCCCTTGTCTAACCTTGCATCCATTGTAAAGCAGCAGACTCTTGAAACCACAGCACTGGCAGCTGAGGGTAATACTCAAGCCTCACCTGTCACATCAAGAAAATCTGATGTTTTGAATCCGCTCGCCGGGAGCCGTGACACCCAATCCAAACATTCTTCTGCTTATGAGTACCCACCATACTGGTCGGTGGAAAAATGGCCTGGTGTGCTATCTCAAGGGGATCCAACTCAAGCTATGAAAAGACTTGAGAAGGTGTACACCGCTGAGCCTCTGGAGAATAACACTGAGCTACACACCAGTCATGTAGAACACATGGGACTACAAGTGAAGCAAGGCTCTTCAAAACCTGCTAGCCAGTCTTATCTCTTTGGGAGCAATGCATCAGCAAATGGGAATAGGATGGAGAGCAAACTAGCCCAGGTGTTAGAGGGGGAGCTACTGAAGAAAGAAAGTGGGGCGTCAGACAGTCCTCCCAGTGAAAC